ACCTACAGTAAAAATGTGTATGTAAAAAGACAAAACTTTAAAAAGTAAACCTACAAAATCTGTCATTAAAAACTTCTGTTTTCAGAAGAGGAAAAAGAGAGCACATTTTTTTTGTTATTGTTTTGTTTTGAGATTTTCTCAGATCGGAACAGAGAAAATCTGTAGCTGAGGACCACTCACTTTTGGAGCATTTACGTGACAGACTTTTATGAAGTTAAGATAATTTCTTTACACCACAATGGGGCAAAAACCAAGCAGATATCACATGATACAAAACAGTCTAGAGACAACTCTACATTGAGTATGGAAACAAGTTTCAATAGTTTCTTCTTAAATCAGTCGTGACTAATACAAACAGATTATATAGCAGCACAACTGTCATTCTGGCTGACCTGAGCAGGGTTCCTGGAATGACACTCATGTTTGCTAAGCCCAGGCAAGAAGCCACTCTGTTGTCCTTATTCCCTTAATGCATACATAAAGCCAACATTATGACTGATGAAAAGCCTGTTTTTGATTTTTATAGAATCCTCATTATAGTTTCTGGTTGGATTCATTTAAATGACCCTAGATTCCCATTTTGCATTTACCTGATTCTTAAGATCCTTTTCTTAGGAAAATGTGCAGCTCCAAACACTAACAAGTAGATGGTGAGAGTTTATATTTTAATTGACTGCTATTGTTTTGTATGTTTCTCTGATAGACCTCTCATTCTCACACAAAGCACTGACAGCTGTTTCCAGCAAACATTTCCTGCTTCCTACAACCCTCCACTTCACTGCCAATCTCTTCTGAATACATCAAGGATGCCCACAGACAGCCTACTCTCTGAGAATTTCTGCCATGCCATCACAAGTCCACAGGGTCCTCTACTTCCTTTCAACACACCAGGCTTAAAAACAAATATGCAACAGTGATTTACATTTGTAAAACAAAACACATAGGTTTATTTTTTCATATTTTAGAATTTTAATTTAAAAGCATATAAACATCTAAATTTACATTCAGAAAGCTGAGCTATGCCAGGAAAAACACACGCTTTACTGCTGCAGACTGCCAAAACTCATTCTTAATCATTTTATTATTCTATTTAAAAGTTATGATGTTTTCAGGAAATAGTACTATCCTCATAGGGGTATGTGAAGTTTTTAACTGGTACATCTCACTATAGACTTCATTCGCTTGAGTCTCTCTTGTCCTAAAACTATACAGCCAAATCTATGCTTAGATTAATCTCTATTTTAATACAGTTAATAAATATGTAAGATTTACCGTAAAAATTCCATTACATATATATTTTTTCCCATTTATGTTCTAGGTTAGGCAAAAGTTCAGATTGCTTTTTTAAAATCATCATAAACATTTGCATATGTGTTGATTCCATTCTCCCAGCAAGTAAAAGTGGTTTAAAAGCCACATATCCTGTCCATCCTTTTAAAAATCAGGGGTCTTTTGGGATAATAGAAACATTTATATTCTTTGGAGCTTTATCCAGCAGCAGCCTTAATGATTATATAATCCCTTGACAATTTCCTGGTCATGTCAGAAAATGTGTCTCTATAAAGACACCAAGGAGCTCAGGCTAAAGAGAGTGACTATCTTCTACAAGCAGAGAGAACTCTATAATACCGCAAAGACCATTTAAATAATTATTCCCCTAAGTTTTTTTGAAGTGATGCTAAATGGCATTTTCACACCATTATGCAACATTGTTTGGTGTCTAAGATAAATAAGCGTATTACTCATTCTAAGATTAAGTTTAAAATAGAAGAAAGAAAATTTAGAAGCTGGATTTGAACAGTCTTTTATTGCTGGCATTCATCATCTTCCCTTCCCCACCCCACCTCCGAGCTGTTCATTTGCTTAGAACAATTTTGTAAGTATAAATATACTGGATTTTCCCCTCTGCTTCAAGCTCATCTCATATTTGAAATCTTCAATTATTCCTGTTCACCAAGAAGATTTGGGTAATTTGATCTCCCCCAGTTTGGCAAACCACTTCTGTGTACACATTGGAAGGTAAAGAAAAATATGCTTATCTAGAGAGCTAAAATGAGAAGAGAAGACCTTCCTGCTAAGAAAACTTACTTTAAAAATGACTTAGACATCTAATCACTAAGCTACCAGTAGTGGTCCTATCAAATACCTACACATACTACACACTGAACAAGTTAATTCCCTGTTTAAGTACTTTTATTTTTCTACATTCTGCAATCATTTCTAACCTACAATCTACCACATTTTGAATACAAATGAGTCATTTGGTTTACAGTTTACTTTCCTGCTTCTTTGTAAGCATACGGAAACCATGGTTTCCAAATACAGAAAACAACTCAATACAAACTATTCCCTGACCTATGACTTGCCCTGTAGGAAACAGTAAGTCTGTTTGTATTACATTCAACACTGAAAAGAAACAATTGTCTGATCAAATAATTTGTTTAGCACTGTCAATAAATACTACTCTGACAGCATAAAACTCTGCTCTTCAGGACTTGAAGGAGGGTGATCAGCCTGAAAGGGCAATATTCTGGGATGACAACCGTGGCAGGTAAAAAAACTATCACAATCAAGGTCTATCAGCACAGCAATCTGGGCTAATGTTCTCCTTCCAGTTTATTCCTTTAACATGGAGGAGAGGTAGGAGAAAGAAAAGAAGAGGCAGAAAGCCTTTCAGTGTGTAAAGTGAGTATTTCTAATACCTAGAACAAGCTCTTTTAACAAAGAAATCACTGCTTTATGACACTTGATACAAACAGTATACTTTCTACTAAAAAGACAAAGGAAAAAATGAAAACAAAAGTATGGCCCATAAAGAAAAATCTGATAAATTGAACCTCACAAAAATTCAAAATGTTTCTACATCAAAATAAACCATTAAGAAAATGAAAAGACAACCAACAGGTCAGGTGAAAATATTTACAAACACCTATCTGAAAAGGACACGGATCCATCCAAAGTATACAAGTTCTCACAACTCAAAAACAAGAAGCCAACTAATCCAATCAAAAATGGGCAAAAGACCTGAAAAGACATTTCACCAAAGAAGATATATGAATGGCTAATATGCATATGCATATAGAAGTGCAACATCATTAGTCACTGTTGTTTTTAGGCGCTGCCAAGTCAGTTGCGACTCACAGTACAGCAACTCTATGCAACCTTATGTACAACAGAATGAAACACTGCTCAGTCCTGCACCATCATTAGTCATCAAGGGAATGTTAATTAAAACCACATGCTCTAGAATAACTATATAATAAAAAAAAATCAGACAATAACAAACAGTGGAGAAGATACAGTGAAACTGGAACCGTGATACATGACTGGTGGGAGTGTAAAACGGCACAGCGACTTTGGAAAACAGTTGGTGGTTTCTTGAAGTTAAATATACTGTATGACCCAGCAATTCCACTCCTAGGTATTTACTCAAGAGAAATGAAAACATGTCTTCCTGAAGTCTTGCACATGAATGTTCATAGTAGTGTTATTCACAATAGTCAAAAATCAAAATTAATCTAGGTGTCCATCAATTGGTGAATGGATAGATAAAATGTGGTATACCTAAAAATGGAATACTTCTTGGCAATAAAAAGGAATGGACTATTGATAATATGCTATCTTCTAAACATTATGCTAATGAAAGAGGCCAGACACAGACCACATATTGTATGATTTCATTTATAGGAAATGTCCAGAAAAGGCTGGAGACAGGAAGTAGATGAAGTGTTAGTCTGGGCTGGGGCTCTAAATGGGAGTAATATTAAATGGACATGAGGGTTCTTACTGGGGTAATAAACATGTTCTAAAACTGACTTATGGTCATAGTTGCAGATCAATGATAAGATTCAGTCTTCATGCATTTGTCTATTCTAGATATTTCATGTAAATAGGATCATGTATTTGCCCTTTCAGGTCTGGCTTCTTTCACATACAATGAATATTAAAAAAACAAACAAATAAAAAAAAACCACTGCCATCGAGTCGATTCCAACTCAGAGTGACCATATAAGACAGAGTATAACTTCCCTGTAGGGTTTCCAAAGCTATAAATATTTACAGAAGCAGACTGTCTCATCTTTCTCTCATGGAGCAACTAGTGAGTTCAAACTACTGACCTTCTGGTTAGCAGCCAAATACCTTAACCACTGCGCCACTAGAGCTCCTCAATGGAATATTTAGCTATAAAGAAAACTGAAGTTCTGATACATGCTATAACATAGATGAACCCTGAAAAGAATATTACACAAAAGGACATATGTGAAATACCTAAAACAGACAAATGCACAAAGACCAAAGCATATTAGTGATCAACAGGTGAGGAACTCTGATGATGTAGTGGTTAAGGCATTTGGCTACTAACGAAAAGGTTGGTGATTCAAACCCACTAGCCACTCTGCAGGAGAAAGATGAGGCTGTGTAACTCAGTGGCATAGTTTTTCTTTCTTTTTTTTTGAGGTGTGGGCAAGAAGGGGAAATAAGGAGTTTGTCTAAGGGCTTCTGAGTGTCTGCTAAGGGTGACAGAAAGAATCTGGGCCACATAGTGATGACAGCTGCACAACATGGTAAATGTAATTAAGATCACTGAATTGCACACATAAAAATGCTTAAAATGGCACATATTTTGTTCATTATATTTTACCATAGTAAAAGACTCCCAATTCCCTCAAAACCCAGCTCAAACAAAAATCCTTTCAAAGACTTCTGATGTCAAGGGAAAAAAAAGACTTCTAGTAGTTTGACAATATACTTTTTAATAGGTGCTGTTTCTGATTTTATGTGTGTTTTTGTATATTTTGGGGACACAACTAAATAGTCTCTTGAGGAACACAAGCCTTCCTCAGGTTCAAAAAGATACACACATGCATATTATTCAAACACTAAAGAAAAGATTAATCGAAGAAGATGAATGGAAAAGGTAAATACTGTTAGAGCAAGATTTGTTTTCATTTCAATATATACACCAGTCAAAAGAAATGGCTATTGTCTGAAAACCTTACCTGCTACTGAATTTGGCCGTGGCATGAGATAAAGGGGAATAGACTGTACTGATTGGGACAAAACTGTTTCCAAACTCCTCTCTGGGATTTTATTCAGACTATAAGTGGAAGCCATCATGTTTTCATCCACTCGATATAAACAGGAGTCCATGCTGGATTTTTGAGACTGCCAAGGCTTCAAGTTTCCTCCAGATCCTAATTCTTTGCTGCTTTCTCCAACATATTTTGTGCGTTCCACATTTTCAGAATAGCTTGTCAATGTAGCTAAAAAACAGAAAGAAAGTAAAATAAATTAAAAAAAATTAGTGATCATTTTAATTATCTAAATTCATAATTAGATAATGAGAAAATAATTATTGTAAAAAGTCACTGATGATCATTTCACCTCCATCATGAAGTTTAAATAACTGCAATCAAAACATAACCATTTCTCACATATATGTACTTTAACAACTCTATTTAAATGAGGAGCTACACAAATTTGTCAATTCAGACTACATTAGTGATAAAATTTTATGATGGAAATTAAATTTATTTAAATTCATAACACTGTAGGATCATAATAATGGTATAAAAGAAAATTCAAAACTGTAGGATCATAATAATGGTATAAAAGAAAATTCAAAATTGATGTTCACTATAATTTTTTTACTATCTGTAATATTTTTATAGACTTTAATGTATTTTTTAAAATAAACTGTTTAATTCCTTTATCTGTCAATATTCATTGAAATCAGAGTACTCAGGGTTTTTAAGGAGAACGTATAATAAGTGTAGATAAATGAGGTCAAGTATAAAATAACTAAATTATATTTGTGTTTCTGGATTACAATAATACTCCCCACTTGCTTGTTCATGCCCTCTACTTACTTTTCCAATCAGGTATAAACATCTTTTTCTCATTAATTTGTAAACACTCTACATACCATGCTTTATTCCTATTTTGCTCATCACATATGTGGAAAATATTTTTCCCAGCTGATTTTTTTTTACTTCAGTGATGTATTTTCTTTATCGAATAGAAGTTTTGATATTTATGTAGTAATTATTAACTTTTTCTCTTTCATAGTTCCTGCCTTGTGTGTTATGTTTAGAAAGTTCTCCATTCTAAAATTATAAAGAACTTTACCAGCATTTTCTTCTAATACTTTTATGGCATCAATTTTCACATTTAAATATTTAATTCACTGAGATTTATTCTGATGTAAATTGAGGTTAGATATAATTTTTTTTCTAATAACTATGTACTAGTGCCAGACCATTTACTGGATAATTTAACCTTTCTCCACTAATGTGAAATATCTGTGTTACCATGTATTATTATTTTATGCATTTTGATTTATACTGTACCTTCTATCCTAATGATAAACAACTTTTTCTTATTATTTCATAGTTTTTATTTTTATTTATTTAAAAAACTTTTTATGATTTGAATAAAAGTTTACAGAGCCAATCAGTTTTCTATTCAACAATTCATACACATTTTGTTTCATGCAATTGATTGCAATCTCCACAATGTAACATCACTCATCAACTTCCTCCCTGTATTTCCCATTTCCATTTCTCCTTCTTTTCTATCCCTTCCTGCCTTCAGAACTCTGTCCCAGGGCAAATGCTGCCCTTTTGATCTCAAATGGTTGATTGTCCAAAGGTGTGCATATCTCCCTGGTGTTACTGTTCCCCTTAAAGACCTGTCTATTGTTTGTCTGAAACTTGAGCCACAGGGGTGAGTTCAGTTCCAGGCTTGAAGGGTCACCAAGAGCCATACTCTTGGGCATCCACCAGGCTCTATCTGACCAGTGAGCCTGTTTTTTTTGTTTTTTAAATTTGTATTGTGAATTGGGTGAAAGTTTACAAAGCAAATTCATTTTCCATACAGCAGCTCATATATCCTTTGTTTCATGACACTGAGCGCAATTTCCCACAACGCAACGGCTTCCCTCCCATTTCCTCTCCATAGTTACCTTTTCCCTGTGCCCTTCCCTTCCATGCACTCCTGCCCCCTGAACTGTCTCCCTGTACATACACAGCCCTTCTATTTTCCCATGACTGATCTATCCAAGGAGTGTATCTACCTAATATAAAATATTTAGCTCATATGCCTGTCTTGTTTTGGCTGGAAGCCACAGGAGTGGGTTCAGTTCCAGACCTGAAGGGCAGCTAAGGGCCACAGTCTCAGAGGATCCACCAGGCTCTATCAGACCAGCAAACCTGGTCTCTCTCTCTTTTTTTTTTATTTTATGATTTTGAGTTTTGTTCCACATTGTTCTCCCACTCTATCCAGGATCTCCTACATAGATCCCCATTTGAGAGGCTGACAGTGGTAGCCGGGCACCATCTAGTTCTTCTGGTCTCATAGTCATATAGGCTGAGGATCGCATTGTGTACCAGTCACTTGGACTAAGTGTTTCCATGCGTCTTTGGTTTTCTTCATGAGTCTGGTTGATTTTATGATATGAGTTTTGTTCCACATTTTTTTCCCACTCTAGACCTTTTAATATGATCCCTTTCACAGTAGGTAATAGTAGCATGGCACCATCTAGTTCTTCTGGTCTCAGGGTTGTGGAGCCTGAAGTTCACATGGGCCATTAGTCCTTTGGACTGTTTCCATGCATCTTTGATTTTCTTCACTATTCTTTGCTCCAGGCAGGGTGGGACCAATAGTTGCACCTTAGATGGCCACTCACAAGCTTTTAAGACCGCAGACACGATATTCACAAAAGTAGGATGCAGAACTGACCTTGATGTCCCCTGAGGCTATGGTTCTGAGCCCTCAGGCCCAGGGATTCATTCACTCAAGGTGTTTGGTTATAGTTAAGAAATTTTCGTAACTTTGCCCCCTGTATGCTCTACTATATTCATAGATATATTTGAAGCATATATAAATACATAGATAAACACCTTTTTTGTTGTTGTTATTTAGACTGTCTTCTACTGATGGACTCTTTGACAGTTTCCTTTTTTCTAAACTTTCCCTTTACCCAAGTTAATGTGTCTATCCTCTCGTTAGTGGTTTATCCTGCCTTCCCCAACCACTCCTGGTAACCATTAAAGAATATTTTTTATTTGAAACCCCTTTCTTAACTTTTTACAATAGTGGTCTCATACAGTATTTGTCCTTTTGTGATTGACTAATTTCACTCAGCATAATGGCCTCTAAGCTCATCCATGTTTTGTTCTACACATTTTTCATTGCCCTTGAATGTTGCGTAGTATTCCACTGTGTGTATGTAGTTTGTCGATCCATTCATCTGTTCACTGGCATACATGTTTCCATCTTTATGCTATGGTGAACAGTGCTGTGATGAACATGGATATACATATATCTGTTCATGTCATGGCTCTTATTTCCCTAGGACATCTATCTAGTAGTACAATTTCTGGATCGTATGGTATTTCAATTTCCAGCTTTTTAAGGAAGCTCCCTGCCCTTTTTCCAAAGTTGTTGTACCATTTTACAGTCCTACCAGCATGTAAAACTGTAAAATGGTACAACCACTTTGGAAAAGGGCAGGGAGCTTTCTTAAAAAGCTGAAAATTGAAACACCATATGATCCAGAAACAACAAAAACCAGCAATGTATGAGGGTTACAGTCTCTCCACAGCCTCACTAGTATTTTTTTTTAAGTTTGCTATTAGTGCTGGGGTGAGATGCTATTTCATTGCTTTGATTTACGTCTCTAAAGGCTAATGATTGGGAGCATTTCTTCATGTGTTAGTTGCCTGAATGTCTTCTTTGGTGAAGTGTCTATTCATGTTTTCTGCCTACTTTTAAATTGGATTATTTGTCTTTTTATTGTTTAATTGTTGAAGCTTTCTATACATTTTAGAGATTACTCCTTCTTGTCCAATACACTGTTGCCCCCAATTTTTTCCCAGTCTCTGTGTTCTCTTTTTACTCTTTTGGTGAAATCTTTTGATGTGCATAAATGTCTAATTTTCAGGAGGTCCCAATCACCTATTTTGTCTTCGAGTGTTTGTGCATTTTTAGTTATATTTGATAGTGTACTTATGCCCTGAATTAAGGCCCCTAAGTTTGTGCCACCACCCCCCTTTTTTGGGGATGATCTTTACAGTTTCAGGTTTTACATACAGGTCTTTGATCCAACTTGGGTTTTTGTATGTGGTATAAGATATCAGTCCTGTTTCATTTTTCTGCAAATGGATATCCAGTTTTGGCAACACTATTCATTAGAGAGACTTTGTCATCCCCTCTTAATGAGTTTTGGCCTTCTGTCAAAGATCAACTGTCTATAGGAGGATGGATTTACTTCTGGGTTCTCAATTATGTTCTACTGGTCCATGTGTCTGTCATCATACCAGTACCAGGTTGTTTTAACTATCATGCCTCTACAGTAGGTTCTGAGATCAGGGAATGTGAAGATTCCTACTTTGTTCTTCTTTTTCAGTAGTGCTTTACTTACTATCTAAGGAGCTCTGGTGGTGTAGTGGGTAAGGTATTTGGCTGCTAACCAGAAAGTCAGCAGTTCAAACCTGCCAGCTGCTCTGCAGGAGGAAAATGAGGCAATCTATTTCTGTAAAGATTTACAGCCTTGGAAACCCAATGAATCGGAATCAACTTGATGGTTTTACTTATCTGTAGAGTCTCTTTCCTTTCCATATATAGCTGGTGATTAGCTTTTCCATCTCTTTAAAGAAAGATGATGGAATCTGGATCAGGAATGCATTATATCTATAGTTCACTTTGGGTAGTACTGACATTTTCAGATGTTAAGTTTTCCTATACCTGAGCCTGGTTTTTAAAAAAAAAAAAAACAACAAAAACTTAAACGCACTGCTGTCGAGTCAAATCTGACCCCTCCCTGGGTTTTGAGGTGGTATTTCTATGGAAGTAGATTGCTCTGTCTTCCTTCCTAGGAGTGGCTGGTGGATTTGAACCACCAGCCTTCTGGTTAGCAGTCAAATGCCTTAGGCACTACACCACCAGAGCTCCCCTCATGAGCCTGTTAGTCTTCTGTTTATGTAAGTCACTTTTGCTTTCTTGTAACAGTGTTTTCTCTGTATAGATCTTTTGTGTTTCTGGTAACATTTATTCCTAAGTATTTCATCTTTTGGGTAGTTATTATAAATGCTACAGCTTTCCTGATTTCCTTTTCAGAGTTCTCTTCGTTAGTGTAAAGGATACAGATTGATTTTTGTGTGTTGCTCTTGTACCCTGCCACTTTGCTGAAACTACCAATTAGTTCTAGTAATTTTCTGAGACTTTGGGATTTTGTATGTATAATATCATATCATCTGCAAAT